TCCCTCTTCTCCTAGTACATCTTTGATGTTAAGAAGACTGAGGACAAAGTGTTGGTCTCATTACAACAGGAGGATCGCCGCAAATACAAGAAAGAAGGGGAAGGAGACAGCATCCCAATTGGCTTTGAAATATTCAAGGTAGACAGCCAGCTGTGCTCCTGGTACAGTTTGTTCAGTTTGTTCAGTCCTGCTTCACCCTGGCCATGAGCTCTTGGTCTGCTTCTCTGCTCAACACAAGCTTTGCATGGGGACTGCACTCAATCACCAAAGCTGACATCAGACAGACTATTGGAACTACACTGAATTTAGTTCAATTCAAACTCTATTTGAGCTAAAGGAACATGAGTCATTTTTCCCTTTTGCAAAAGAATTTTAAGTGCTTTTCCAGCCCCAAGCTTTCAAGAGAAAGACAAAATAATCTTGAAACATGGAGAGTTTTTCCTCCTTCTCACTGGAGGCTTCTGCCTCAGTTTCATCAACGAATACAGCCAAGTGAATGAGATTGAAAAGTCTGTAGTTTTTCTGTTGCCACTTAGAGAAAAAGAGCATTTCAAAAGCTAGAGTAGTGAATAGGAAAATAGTACATGGGAAGAGGAACCACAGGGATCCAAAACAGAGCAAATTGAGTAAAATGAAAACATAGGAACTCAAAGGAGGGAAGCAAGAGAAACAACTATGATTTTGCTTTTTCACTGAGGATCAGGATTATCTTATCATCTGTTACTACAGCTAGTGGGACTACACTGAGTCTATGGCCCTGCCCTAAAAAAGTCAGAGCTGCTGACATCTGTATCACACCTCTTCATTTGACAATCATCTGTTAATCACATATATGGAAAAGTGTTATTACAGAAAGTAGTGTAATTTACCTTGTCTTGTTCTTGCCTGTACATCTAATTTGGAAAGGCATGGAAAAGAAAATCACACTTTCAGAAAAGTATCAGTACTCTATTTTTATTTCTGTTCAATAATTTTTCTACTTCAGAAATGTTCTAACCCATAAGGTTCATTAGCATGACAAAAGGCCTTTGGAAGAGAACTACCAGAGAAGAATGTAGGGCTGTCTTTGCCCTCAAGAGCTGCTGAAGAAATAGATTTAGATTTTAACTGTGCCGTGGCAAATACTAGTCCCCTGAAAAGGATGATAACAGTTAAGCACAGCTTCAAGGCTTAGAACAAAACATAAGTGGTTTTTCTGTGGCTTTTGTATTCAGAAAAGGGCAATGAATATACAGCTGTGTGCATCTAGATTGAGAGCCTGCTATGAAAGATTGGAGTACTCCCTCCATGCTAGAGAAAGGAGGCAGAGGAATCTCAGCCTCATCTCAGGCAGCAGCATAGCTCGGCGGGTGCAGTCATTGGGGGGTGTGTCCATCTCTTGAAGTATTTCAAGTTCTGCAGTAGCATCACATCTTTGTTAGTGGTTTTGCCAGTCCCAAATCTTCACCTCCACTTAGAGGAATCCATATATATACCCATGCATTGAAGAGCAGAGCAGCACTGCTGGGAAGCCTGTGTGGGCTAGCACTTGGAGCATAGTAGTGCACATCAGGACTATCTCTGTCACAGTCTCAGTGGGTGAAAAAACATTTGCCAAATGATTTCCCTTTATTTCACATTGTGTTTTCTGGCCATGAAAGGCTGTGTGAGATACAGGGAGAATCCTGCCTGTTAGCTCTGCTACCTCTCCTTGCATTAATCCCTATCCTACCCTGTGGCTGTAGGTGGAGGATAACAGAAGATATCGACTGCACAAGCTCACCGTGCAGGAGAGAGTGGCCACGTCTCCGTACATCAACACACGCACTGTGTTCTTGAAGAGGATCCTTAAGCAAGGCTGCTATGTCCTTATCCCAACTACATATCTACCTGGTATCACCACGAGATTTATCCTGAGACTCTTCACAGATGTGCCATCAAAACTCAGGTAGGTTGCACTCAGCTACAACAAACCTTCCCTTGCCCACATCTGCTGCACCTCCATGGAAGTGGTTGCCTGGTTGTCCTCACACACCCCTGACTCACTTGTTCATATCACTCCAGAACTAGGCCCTTGACATGGTCAGAGTCACCTCCAAGAATCTCCAGATGGCTCACTGGGATTTGTGCATGGTCAGGACATTGTTGCTTAGGGACCTCGTGGGTAATTCAGTTTGGGTCTTTTGACTGTTTAGTTTGGCTTTTGTAGTGGCCTCCAGTTCTAGGTCAGAACATTGAGCACTGGTGTTTGCAGTTACAGCTGATATCATTTGTTTCTGTGACCATCTTTGAAAACAGTGGTTGCTGTAAAACCAGTGTTTTGTGAAATCAGGCTCACTAAATTTTTCTTGCTTTGATACTGTCTTCAATGATTTAAAGGAGGTTTTTTCACCACTTTTGCTGTCATGCAAAAGATAACACAAATTTGGTTTACTTTGCTTTGCTCTGGTTTTATTTCTTATATCTGTCACTTTTGCACTACAGAATTCCAAAATGGCAAATGAGGAAAAAGTACAAAACTCATGTTCTAGAAATACCAAATTTCCACAACCACTGATTGTATGCTTGACATTCTTTGCTTCAGTTGCTTTTCCCATGATTTTTCAGGGAGCTGAAAGCAGATAAGCCTAAAATGACATGTTGGAGTCTTCTTTGTGGCTATCCATGCAGAGTCACCCAAATCAAAGTTCACTCCATAGAGGGGTTACAGAAGCAAGGCAGATCAGGCGGTAAGTGGAATGGAAGAGTGGAAGGAGCTTTTCAGTCCTCTAAAGGTGATTTGGGTTGATATGTAAGGAGTCAGAAATTATCCAAACAAACTGAGGATTTATGGCATATTTTTTCAGCATATTGTAAAATGTGCTCCAAGGGAGAGAACAGATGAATCAGAAAATGCAAAACAGCAAGAGTATGTGTCATCTCCACTGGTCCAGACTGATGCCGAGAAAAGGCTGTTAAAGAACTACCCCCAGACTTGTATCTTAGAGGTAGCAGGTATTTGTTTATTCAGCGCTGGGCACAAGGGGGATCGCTCCACCAAACTTGCGCAACCAGGGACAGTTCACAGTTTATATACATTAAAGAACTCATGCATATTCAGTATTTCCAGGAATAGGTGGTCATTATTACAATTAGTTCTTGGAAATCATTATCATTATCTCCTCCTTCATCTCCTCCCACTTGGCATTAGTCCCACGGTCTCTGGTGGTCGTCCGGGGGTCGTCGGGAGGAAGGCTGATGGTCTTCATCAGCTTGACCTTTGAGTTTGGCACATATTGCTAGGTCATGAGTCCAGCTGCATCTAATTTTTCTTCCTTGTTTTACGCTACCTAAGCTAAAATAATGCCCTAAGTTCTACCCTTTTCATGCTTAATAAACTAAGACAGTTCCTTATTAATCAACCTTTTTCTTCTTGTTTATTCAGGTGCTTTCTACCTGACTATCCCCTCTCCTACTCTTTGCTTTGGCTATTCGATTCTTGTTATCAAGATGGGCAGGACTATCCAGACCCTCCTGAGGAGCTAATTGTGGGGACCAGTAAGAAATTCTTCTTCCAGGGTTATGTGTTTTCTAAATGGAAAATATCCAGGGAGACAGCTGAATGGCACAGACTTGTGTAGTTTGTTACACCTACCTCACAATATTGTTCACAGCCTTCAAAAAAATTTGATATTGATTACCACAAGCTCAATAGGAGTTCAGGAAGTACTTTATGGTTTACAAACAACCATTTTCAGCTGGCTAAACTAGAACAGGGAGAGGTTAAATGCTTTCTACATGACTGTGTGACTGTGTCAAAGGAAGTGTCCTGAAGACAGTAAAATGACTTTCTAACTTGTCCAGCTGTCATTTGCTTTTTAATTTTCTACTCCTAGTCTTCATCTGTCAGCCTTCATTTTCCATGGCCAGTGCAATGGAAAAAGGTAGACACATCCAGCACAGAGGAGTGATAGGAAGAAAGCAAAGGAGCAGATACTGCAGTGAAATTGTATCAGGAAACTACAGAGGTTCTTAAAACATATGCTGTGTTTGCTCCAGGTGACTCCACTCTCTTCAGTTTCAGATGTGAAGCTCAGTTGCAGTAACTTTGGTAGAGGGGTATTACCCTTAAACCTGCAGTACTGTTCATCTTCAGTCTCACAGTGTAGCTGGCTACAATTTTATTCCAGTCTTCTTTTCCACTCCTGGCACCCACTGAGTGGTGACTGAATGTACTGGGAAAACCACTTTCTGTTAAGTCTGATTGTCTCTTTGGTAGACAGGAATGTTAGAGGGAAGAGATGAAAAAAATGGATTCAGTTCATTTTTTTTGAAAAACAGGAGCCAGAAACACCTCAGCCAAGCAAGTGCTATGGTTTCATGCCCTCAGCAAGGCTGGGTGGGTGAGTGAGTGGGAGGGACTGAATGGGCCGCACATGGCAAGAGTGGCAGTGCATTGAAAACAGGCAGCATGTACTGGTTCTTGCCCTGTGATGGACATTTTCGGTTTTAAGAATGGGATTTTTTTCCTTTTTAAATTCCTTAAACATTTTTCTCTAACATTCCCTGCAGTAAAGCAATAAAAGCCAGTTCTCCACTCTTAGTGTTTCACAGTCTTTAGCACAATTACAGCCTTGACAAGATCATTAAAACGAACTGCGAACTGCCTGCAGATGCCAAAGACCAGGCTTCAGCTCAAAGCATTGTGAGATTTGGTGCACAGTGACAAAGACCCTCAGGAACACACACACAGGACTTACAACCAATGTGTAATAGATAGTCTAACTACAGCATAGCCCAAATACCTTTAGGACACAGTACTACCACACGTGGTCAGGATGAGCTGAAGCATCTACTTCCACTTTGGTTTCAGCAGCCAGTGTTGGGCTGAGGATCACCCTCACAGAACTGAAAAGGTGTGGAAAGTCCACTGAAAATGGATTCACAGGTTTTCTGTTTAAACTTAAGCAAAACATCTGCTTAATTATTCTATCTGCTGAAAAATGCAAAATTGGGTCAAGTGATACTATTTGGGAATTAGTATTGAATTCAAGTGACTGAAAAATATCAGTCATCATTGTCATTTTTTCCTGAAGTGTTTCCATTTCCCTGTATGAAACAATGTGCCATTTTAAAATTAATCAGAAACAGACAGGGATGTGAACACAAAACCTGAATGAATCTTTTTGTTCAATGCTGAGTAAAACTTTACCAAAAAGTTAAAATATTTTCTTTTTGTATCAACATAAATCTTTCAGTAAAAGCCTTTGTCTCTTTTCATGCTGGAATTCCAAATCTCATCCATTCAGGGGGCTCTGAAGGAGAGTTGAATTACTCCACTTCAGTGGCTTCCCCATTATCTTGAATTCTGTAGTGAAATCCTGGTTTGAATCTTTCTTTATTAGACTTTTTTTTCCCCTGTAAGTGGCTCCAGCTCAGAAAGTATATTCATAGATGGTCTGAAGAATGTCACATCTTAGAGCAGCTTCAGAGAAACAAATTAGGGAGAGTGTGCAAATAACAAAGCCATGAGGACAAATGCATACTGCTGACATTTGTGCTACACAATAAAATCAAGCTGTGCAAAGATCGGGGTAATGCCCACAACTGGCACGTTGCCTTCCAAGGAAAATTTGGCAAAGCTCCTGATTGATATTAGAGTCCATTTTTGGTAACAGAAAAAGCTGGGTATGATACATATTTTTCACATTTGAGGTGATTTTATTTTGGGGTTTTGATGGGGGTATTTTTGTTTGTTTTGGGTTTTGTGGGTTTGTAGTTTTTTGTTCTGTTGTTTCCGGGGGGTTTATGATTAAAATACTGGATATAGAAATTTCTTGAAACACATTGATTGTAAATTTACACTAGAAAGTAATGCATCCAGGGACAGGAAATATCCAATATTCTAAATTATTCTATTGCCACAAAACAATGGAACTCCTTGTCATCCCTGGTCTCCTCTCTGGCTTCTCTGGATCCACATCTGGATCCTGTTCCATGCCTATCACAAGGAGAAACAGCAGCCAGGCATTTGAGAAAGTTACACATGCACTTATCAAAATACCTCCTTACCTGCTGCTCCTGGAGCATTTCCTGATGGGAAGATCTAAAAGTTGACAGCCATCTTTTGTCTAATCAGCACTGTGAGATGAGGGAAGAGGCCACACAGCAATTGCCATTGGGAGTGACAAGTAGAGGTTTCCTTTCAGGTTAGGACCAGTCAATATGTTTATTCAAGTAGAAAATAGGTAACTGAAGTGGTTGTGTTTGCCTGCTGCTAAGAGGACCTCACACAAAGGTTACTCATTTTCCAGTACAAAGGTTGTTGGCAACTTGTTTCTGCGTGAGCTGCTATGTCTGATTAGCCCTGCTGCATCTCACCAGAGCTTCCTGACTGCTGCACCTCCTGATCTGCAGCATCTCAGCTCTCAAGCTGCCTCTTTTCTTAAGCTCAGTCTCTGTCACCTGTCACCTGTATTCCTCCTTGTCCAGCCACCTGTCAGGTTTGTCACTGTTGTCCCTTAGCATAGAGGGAAGACAAAGCTTGATGATAAAGGAGAAGATATGAAGAGGAGTTTCATTTTGGAGCTTCTGAGAACTGAGACTGGCATTGCATCTCTGTGACAAACTGCCCTGAAAATAACAGGATGTGCTATACCCTGACACTGGGATATGCAGTTGCAGAAAATAAGAGTAGCTGGAGAGAGATACCTTTTTTTTACCACTAGAATTGAGGGATTTGAGACTCGAGTTCTTTCACATAGGCCCATCACTGTCATCTGAGAGTTGTGCTTAACACAAGTTTCTGAGCAACTACAGAAACAAAACTGGAAGAGAATAAGGATTGCATAGCCAGTGCACACCCATCATGGTTCGTGAGCTGGTTGTCATCAGAACCCTGCTCCTGGCCAGAGGAAAGTTAATTAATGTTTATTTTAAACATTTACTGGAAAGCTCCTCCTTGGTGCTATCTTTGATCCATTGCCCTGTCTGGAAAAAATAAAGGATGGTTTGCTGTTGTCAAGAATGGTGGATGAATCTAACTGCCCAGGCTCTTGAATGCATAGTCTGCTTCTCATGGAAGTGCCTGTCTCCAACTTAGCTTTTGCTGAAGTGGATCCAGCTGTCTGTGAAGCCAAGCACAGTGGCACATCTGCAGGATGATGAGGAAGCTCTGTGTGCTTGGGGATTTTCTCTCTCATTCCCAAGCCTGTTTTAAAGATTGGTCTCATTACTGCCTCTCACACTCTTTTCCCAAGAGCTTCTCTTGGGAAAGA